TAATATAACAAATCAACAAACATTTTCGAGAAGAAAAATTGAATAATTAGCACCCCATTATGCCTCCTCACTGGACTCTAACAAATTAACAAACATTTTCGAGAAGGAAAATTGAATAATTAGCACCCCATTATGCCTCCTCACTCGACTCCCCTCAATAGTTATACACCAGAAAGTTGAAATCACGCGAGTCGACTCCGGACTATAGACTAGTAGCAGTCTCTTACTTTTCTTTGCAAAGTTACTGCGTGCGAAATCCAAGCACGTAACGTCGTTGTTTGCAGTCGCGCAGGCTGTAATAAGAGCTAGACTGATTTTAAGAGAAAAAGCGGTCCGCCGCAAGCAGTCTAACGACTACCAACTCCGGAATAACGAAAGCATCGAATCAAACCTCTAAACTGAAAGAGTCAGTCGGCGTTACCGTCTTTTCGGCAAAAAGGCATACACTCGAAAATTTTCCTGCAAGAAGTCCAGCCACTTCGCCGTTATTCATTACATGACGAACTTGGAAGGGAAAAGTTATGCTGTTGAGGCTATTAAGGGTAGATTGAATTTGCTTGTGGCTTATGATTAACTAACTGAAGCAAGAGAGCCCATTTCGCAGGTTAAGGACATCGAGGTGTTGCATTATAATCCGTTTGCGGTAACGCCCATCAAGCCTGTATCAATTAAGGGTTTCTGGGTAACTGAACGCCTACCTCTCCCCTTCACTTACTTCTCACTTAGGGTAAAGTTGTGCATTAAGTGAGCGGTAGGTGGTGACTTACACCCAGAAACCTCCATTGATCCCAATCAGGTTTTCCAGAGAATAAGGTTATGAGAGAAATCCAGGGTTAAAAAGATGCAAAGTGGAGTAAGCTGAAATAAACTGAGCGTAACTTAAACATGTTAAAAGACTCACAATAACCAGCACAAAAAGTAATCAATAAAATAAAATAAATAATAACGAGATCATTGAAATTTTCTGCTCGACATAACCGTGATAACAACGTCAACAAATGGTCATAAAGAACTACTAAATACCCAAGTAAGGCACAGTATGCGTAAACCAACTACAAGGCCGAATTATTGAGCTTTTTTGAGAAAAGATAGCCCATATAGTACATATGTTAGTAATCTGAGCGTATGTATCTTCAATTGTGTGTTTGTGATATGTTTGTCAGTTTATTATGAATGACTTTCATTTTTGCAGCTACCGGATAAAACAAAAATCGTGAGATTCTGAACCTAGATCGGGGAAAAATAGTGAGAGGTGGAAAATAGCTGTAACATGTCCCAATTTCTAAGAGGAAGGACTTTCAGCTTTCCAGCGCGAATTATGGGTTTAGTAGGATGAGATCTTCTTCGTTGTTTCCAACGTGTAGACGTCTTGAAATGCTGGAGTCAGGATTTTTAACAGTGGATCTGCACATTTGGTGACAACAGTAAGTCGCGGTAGGGTTCTTTGTAGGCCTGTTCTGGACTAGCCCGCGAACCGCAGACGCATTTCCGGTCGTCGCTTCTCTCCCTCCTTCCGGCGGGCGAAACTAGAAACTAAAGGCGAAAAAACCGGATGCTCTTGCCGGCTAGTTCTGGACCCCCTTTTTTTCTAATAAGGGATCGTCAAGGGCGTAAAAAAAATAAACTGAAACCGCGGGGGATTTACTGACCATAAGCACAAAGGGCTGGGGTGGGGGAGGGAGAAAATAAACGGTCTGTGGGCATCTTTGGGAAGAACTGAAACTTGCTTTTCGCAGAAAAAGCAAAAGAGCCAGGAGCTAAGGGGTAAGGGAGAAGAACGTACATTTCTGTTTCCGGAGGGATTCGGTTCATACGAGCATCGACTGTTTTGAAATTTGGGCTAGTTTTGAATTGCCCCGTGTGAGGAAATCCGGATTCCGGATTCCGGAAGGCCGAAAAATTTTGTTCGTGGAATCCGGAATCCCTGGCTTTGGAATGCGGAATATAGCTCAAGGAATCCAGAATTCTACCGATTGAAACTGGGTCCAGAATCCAAGTTCCTCTGACAAGAACGGGAATCTAGTAACTGGAACCAGGAATCCACGGTGTGGAATCCAGAATTCAGGGCTGTCTTAGATTCCCTAAAATGGGCAGATTTGAATGTTATATTTTATCTCTTAAAGGAACAACTTGGGTTCAAGAAATTGTCTGGCAAATTTACCACAATGGAGAAGTCAACAGCAAACGAATTGAAGACCGTGTTCCATTCTTAGAAGAGGCTACTAATTCAAAATCTTCTCAACCAGACATTGCCAGTTTTCCAAGCCCCCGCCTTATTAAGACACACCTTTCTTATGAGGCTATACCGAAAGGTGTAAACGAGGAAACAACGTGCAAGTATATTTACATCGCTCGAAATCCAAAAGATAACGCTGTATCAAATTATGAGTTTTTGACAAGCTTGGGGAAAAATACTGAATTGAATGCATCGTGGGAATTTTATGCCAATCTGTTTGTTCAGGGAAAATGTAAGTTATACAATTATTATACGTGGCAGTAATTAAATGCTTTTATAGTTGAAACTCCATTGGTTCCATGGGAACAGAGCTGCCTCCCTATCCCAGATATTGTCAACAATTGTCAACCATATCCCATAGTAACTATAAGGCAATATTAGTTTTATATATTTTCTGTATACGATGATGATATTTCTCTCTTCGTAAATTTAATGGTTAGCGGTTTAAGATTGTTAAAGTCGTGTTTTCCATAGAGATCTTCAAGAGTTTAGATCTTGGATGCCAGGAGCTCATGACTAGAGTAGTCATGGGCTCGTGTGGACAGAGAAAGAATGTTTGTTTTCGTCTTATGTGGTAACACGTGTCAAAACACGTCAGTCGAGGTTGTACTGTAGAGTCGACCCGGGTGACACATGCTGTAATTAAAGTCATTTTAGGGCATATTCGGAAATGTCCCATTTGGCAAAAAGTACAAATGCTTAAAATTCATCCCAAATGAAAATTTATTATTGGTCTGCTGCAGGTACGTTGAAAAAGTACGAACTGGCGCACAGTCGACTCTCTCTTAACGGACACCTCTATAAGACGGACACCTCTGTAAAACGGACACCTGGAGATGGTCCCTGTCTTTGCTTATTCCCTTTATTTGACTCTTTATAAGACGGACATCTCTCTAAGACGGACTCTTAGTGCCGGTCCCAAAGGTGTCCGTCTTGGAGAGAGTTGATTGTAATTATTTCAGTACAGTAACTCTCTCCAAGACGAAAACCTTTGGGACCGGCACTAAGTGTCCGTCTTAGAGAGATGTCCGTCTTATAAGGAGTCAAACAAAGGGAATAAGCAAAGGCAAGGACCATCGCCAGGTGTCCGTTTTACAGTGGTGTCCGTCTTATAGAAGTGTCCGTTAAGAGAGAAGCGACTGTAGAATGTTCGAGTAATCTTGCTATAATACCTTAGAAAACTCAGACGGGAAGAACGAATGTAATGCCTAGGAGTTTGATTTCATTGTCGGGTAGCTCAGCTAGGATGGGTTCAGTCCATGCTGAGCAACAGGAGCCTATCTTTCTGATGGGCTTCTGTGGTAGCATCGCTCTACTGTGAGATGAAGAAGGTGATGCATATTTTGCTTACGGGGTGTCGGTCTGCAAGTTGAACCTGGGGCGCCGCGTAGTACGTAGGATTCAAATTTGAATTCTCATTTGTTGCCCCTATTCACTTCCTACGGAAGTAGTGGGGAGAAGTTGATAAATATCAAGCAAATTCATCTTGTGTGATTATGTACGTAATTGTCATGACCACTCTGTTTTACAAAGCATTGATATTACGGGAAAAATTTGATACTGATCACTAATAGGGCTTAAAGGGTTAATGCCGGGACGATATCACTGCGATGGTAAAGTCAGCGAGCTTCTTTTTCATAGCGCAGGGCCCAAAAGGAGTGACCCAAATAAGTAGCTATAGTGTAAAATGTTAAGGCTTGTTAACTATGATCACTGTTAGATTGTTTATTTCGGAGAGAGGTAATGAGCCACAGGTCTAAAAATTATCAACGTAGTTCTAAAGGGGATAGGTGCGATATAACATAGCACCATAGTGTGTCGCAGACCGTCGCCAAATTTAAGAAATAGCGTCCGTGAACTCCGGAGACCAAGCATCCTCGGAGACCCAGGGGCGGATAAAGGGGACGAGGGAAAGTCTAAACGGGCGGAAAAATATAAATGAAACGAAGAAAAGTAAAGAACGGCGAGAAGAGCCCCTGGGGACAATGTCTTACCAGACCAGTTCCAAACGGTCGCCGCCGTTCTGGCCTCTGATTGGTGCCAGAAAACTTTTGTTTTTCTGGCACCAATCAGAAGCCAGAACGGCGGCGACGGTTTGGAACTGGTTTGGTAAGACATTGACCCCAGGGGCTCTTCTCGCCGTTCTTTACTTTTCTTCGCGCCACATTTTTCCGTCCGTTTAGACTTTCCCTCGTCCCCACTATCTGCCCCTGGGTCTCCGAGGATGGAGACCAAGCGGAAGAAACATGTTGAAGAAATAGCCAGTACGTGGAGAATCGAACCCTAACCGTCAGATATGACTAGGAGGGAAAGGGAACCAAAATGCTCCCAGTCGCCGGTTTCTATAAGGATATATTGGAAGGTGTCTCATTGAAAGGTCGAGTTTGTTCATATTTACATATTTTCTCTAAACTGGTTATGATGCTTCTTAAGGTAGCAGAGACAAGTAGTGTTAGAGGCATGGCAAAAACCTTCATGACTTATTAGTCTTTATCCACCTACACAATTGTTATTCATTGCAGCAACCTGGAGTCACTGGGATAAACATGTACTTGGATGGTGGAAACACAAAGACGATGCTAACGTTTTGTTCCTTAAATATGAAGACTTGAAAAAGGTTTGTTATCATTGTCGGAGAATTACCGGTAAAGTCATTTTCAGTTTTTTGAAATTAATTCTGTCACATTAATTTGCTTTGCGTTGATTAATGCTTAGTGGTGGGTAGAAAACCGAATTGAATTAAGCAATTACTGAGTGAGGCTGGGTATCATCTGAAGAATTATGGAGATTGAGGAGGGTGCGGATAGCAACCTCCTGGTTTAAAAACAAGTTAAAACAGGCTTACCTCCATCGATGTTAAGTTCATCTTCGATAGTGCATGTTTATCGGCAAGTTTAGGAGATAAAGGGTTGTTCAGTTTTGCAAATATTTTCCAAATAGCAGATCCTGAGATGTCGTCCGTCGAGTTGTCTTCTTGCTGTTCTTGCCACGTTTTTAGCTAATAGTTTGCCTTTTTTCTTCCTCGTGAAACGAGTGAAATGTTCATACATTTTGTATTCACTACCGAAACAGCTCATCCTCGTCCCCAGGTCTTCTCGGGTAACCGTTCAATAACCTGGCAATTTTGCTGCACGATTGACATCATCAGTTCACATTTCGTAAAACTCTTCCCAATTTGGTCGACAGTAGCTGGATGTGATGAACTATGCGTGGGATTTTAGCCAACCAGAAACAGAGAAATATTTTGAATGAATAATAATATGCTTTATACAGAGGAGAAGTGCGACGTCACATTACCATGGAAAAACATGCGCTATCCAGTTTTGCCCCCGAGTGCAATCATGCCTATGAAAGTCATTCAAATTATTCAAATCAATTGCGATATTTGTAACAACACGGTTTATAGAGATCGAGAAGTTTTGCTACCATAGCAACGTGACGTAACGACTTCTCTTGTGATCCTGTCCATCACATGTCGTTTTTAGCATAACCATGCTTGAAACAAACCTCTGATATTTAATTTTATATTGTAAAGTAGCTCTGCCTTTCAGTTAGTGATTGGTTAAATTATTATTTGAGGAAGCCGTTTCCTTTAAGTCCTGTGATTTCCTTGAGCGTCCTCGCCATTTGGTCATCGTTTGTTATGTACTAGGATGTATATAGAAAAAAATAAACTTGGCACTTGAAACTTATTTTGTTTTATTAGTTTCACATCCGAACTAAACATGGGAAGAGGATTGACAAGTAGCCTCAAACTCAGACGTTCTTTTGGCTAGTCACGCAATCCTACCTTGGTATTCTGCGCTGAGCGTCAATGGAATAGCCTTCCACGCCGACGTTCTTTGTGTGGGGAAGTAACACGTGACAAAGCGCGAAGAACGTCTGCGTGGGAGGCCAGCATTGGCCGGGACAACGCACCAAAATTCTAAAGATTCAGAGTCTGAATTCCCCATCTTCTCTACCAGTTTTCAAGCCCCTTTACCCCTTTGTTTCTTCTCCTTAGGATCTTCTAAGCCATGTTCGTATGATCTCCCAGTTCCTGAACAAGCCCTTGTCAGATGAACTCCTAAGTCGCATCACAGAGCAGTGTACATTCAATGGAATGATGAAAAACCTGAAAAGTTACCTTCTGTGTGGAACAGAGGCTGGAGCAAAATTTCTCCGAAAGGGCGTGGTGGGGGACTGGAAGAATTACTTTACTCCAGAGCAAAGTGAGAGATTTGACAAGGAATTGTTAGCAAAATTAGACGGGACTGGATTAGTGTTTGAAATGTAGCAAACTTGTTTTCATTAAATATAGTCGAAATTACAGAAGAGGCCTCTTAACACTTTGGGGAGACTGCGAAAGGATTCCTTCGCTGCAGAGCCAGGAATAAGAGATTTGATAAGGACGGCTGTACTTGAATTTGAGAACTGAAGCTGATATAATTTTTGTCAGATTGTATCGAACTTTGAAAAGAATCTGTCAACCACTTTAATGAAATAAAGAAGGGTGTATCGTTTGCTGGTCGTGATAAAGCTGGTGTCAATTTACTGAGCGGAACACCGGTTGGTTTAGTCATGTGCTGAAGGTTCGGATTTTTTTAGATCTTTGACTGCAAGACCTTTATGCAAGACCTTCGTGTTTTAGCATTTCCACTTTGCGTCCTAGTTCTTTATGAAGAATTGGTACCATCTTTCCTTTATCTAAAAAAGCTTTTCTTAGTTTTCGGTTTGAGCGCCGATTGTCGTAAGTCGAGGTTAATCTTTGACAATTTGGGGCTAAACAAGGTGAAATCTAGCCGATCTCCCCTTTGAATGTTACTTCACTGAAGTGACCCCCCCTAATAACATTTGATGACTTTCATGATCCCCCCCACCATGTCTTCATTTTCCAAGCAAATTTGAGTGGTCCCCACCTCTGAATCTTTCCAATGTTTTCAGTGATCCCCCTTTTTGTTCTCTAAAAATCAAGTGACCCCCCTCCCCGCCAGGCGATAAATAATGACCGGTCGACTGACCGGTCCCTTAGGATGGATTTGCGTTGGCCGCGCTCGCCCCAGGAATATTAAATGAAATGCCAGGATAGCCTGTTCCAGGCGTTCAGATTGTAGAGGGCGGGAAAAAAATTCAAGAAGAAGAAAAAAAAAAACGCGGGGAGACTAGAGGGGGAAATGGGGAGGGAACAACAATTTGTTAACAATGTTTACAGGCATTCCCTCGCTCTCGCCTCCCCCCTCGTTCCCCCCCCCCCCCCCCATTCTCCCGGTGTACAATTTGACTCG